CAGCGGGTACCCCGCTCTCTGCCACAGCCGTGGCTGACACGCACCCCCGCGCCACAGCAGCAGCCTGCCGCGCTTGCCACCGCTTGGCCAGAGATGACGCTGTCACCGCTGGGATCTTGCGATGGATCCTTCGCAAACTTTTATCTTGAGTATAGTAAGCACTGTGCCTGCAGAAAGATTACTGCCCCGTCCACGTGTTCGTAGGCAAGCACCAACACCCACAAAGAGCAAGCACAGTGGTGACACACAAGGGCCTAACATCCCATGCCCCGAGAACCTGTCTCCTTTTCCGTCTCCCCGTGAATCTCGCCAAACACAAACACAAACGCTGCCTCTGGACAGTCGTCGGCTGCCCAGCTCTGACAGCCACTTGCCTCTCAGACTGCCTCTTGGCCTCCCCCGTTCCAGGGACGCCTCGTGCAACGCAGACCAGCCGGGCCCCAGTGGGATGCAAGCAGGACCCGACCTAAACTGGATGGAATCAGGCCAGGCTTTGACCTTCATTGGCCACCAGGTAGGGCCAGCTTGCTAACAAGCGTGACTGAAATAACTGCCGGTTACATACGGCGCGTGTTGCAGAGCAGAACGAGGGCCTGCAGGCTCCCTCGCGGGAAGGGACGGCTTTGCAGATCCCAACGACCAGCTAGCTGGGGGTTTCAGTCATTCGGTGCTAATTTGCGTCTCGTTATGCAAACGTTTTCACGCACACAGAAAACCCAAACGCTCCTTACAGAAAGTGGAGGAGAGCCTCCCTCTGTTTGTTTTTGTGACAGAGCTCGATAGGGGAAGGGAATGCACGTAATGCCATTCTGTTCAGAGACACTCCTGAAAGCGCCAGTCTCTCGGCAGTGTCTGATGTTTCTCTTAACAGGAGGCAGAAGGGAGAGGAAACGTTCACACAGGTAATCGCGCCTGCTTCGCGACTTGTTCGGTTGCTGCCCTACTGAAAACTCTCGGCTTGCAAATCTAACAGGGACAACTCAAAGCCATTTTGAAGCAGTTGCAGCATAACCAGGAGGTGCTCGCTCTTTGCTAATGCCCGACATACTAGAGGGGAAGAAAACACTCCCGTGTTACCAAAACGCCGCTGGTGCTACTGCTGTGTGGGGCGTGCAGTCTGGGGTGTGCTCTGCCACGGCTCTAGCTGAGGCAAGGCAGCTTCTGTTTCTTACGAGGCCCGGAGCTTACTTTTCCTTCGCCACTTAGTCGGCAGGGCGAGCTGCAGGGACGGGGAGTAGAGGGGATGCTTTTCCCTATCTCGAGCGCAGGGTAACACTTCATTGGCTAAATACATTTTCCCCATGACTTCTAGGAGCAAAACCTCCGTGGCTAACAGAGAAAGAGGATGGAAGCAAACAACAAATCGGACCTTCGTATGAGGAATTTCTCAAACAAAGTGAGCGGGTTCTACGCATTTCAGCTAACCTTACACTCCCTTTACTGCGGTAGAGACTCAAAAGCTATTTGACTGAAAAACTTTTTGCTTAACAAAGTACTTTTTTTAGAGGAGAAGCAGAAGCTGAAAAAGCTCCCAGCAGAGCGCGTTGGTGCCAACTTTGACCATACCTCTCAGACGGGCGACAGCTGGCTCCCTTCCTTCGGGCGAGTCTGGAATCACGGCAGGAGGTGGCAGTCCCGGTAAGCTCCAGGGCAGCACGGACCGATGCCGAGTGGAGGGTGCACGGCTTCCTTCCACACAAGCTACTCGCGGAGCGGGCTTTGCGGTAGCAGAGAGCATAAGGAGACGTCTTAGTGCGCAAACGTGTTGCGCCCTGCTGAGCTCAATCCAGGCAGAGCATCGCACGCATGACTCGAGAGGCGAAGCACGGTCGCGGCTGCAGAGGCCGTGCATGCAAAGGTGTCTCCTCGTTGAGCCTGGCTCACCTTTTGGACCCGCAAACGGGCACATACACGCACGCTTGTCCCGCTGGCACCTTTTAATAGCTAGAAATCTCTGTCGGCTAGCTGAAGAGACGGCTACAGCTCACCAAGATAACTGAAAAAAAATAAAGGCGTGAGCTTCCGTGGTAAAATGCTACACGAAGCACTACCTTACTTGTTAGATGAGGCAGCGTTCATTACCTCTTTCTAACGGCTGTTGCATTCTGACTTCTACGCTCTCTTTCATTTCAGGCATCAGTTTAGAACTGAATCAGGGGAAAAGAAGAAAAAAAGGTGATCAGAAGAGGAGCACCAAACCCAGCTCTGACTGTTGTGGAAAGGTGGACTGTAGGTAGCTGCAGCTTGGTCAGTGCTGCCACCACTGCCAACTTTAGTGCCCTTATTTAAGACGTACATCCAGATGCGTCTGGTGCCCTGGAAGGCAGGGCGACCGCAGCACAATACTGGATGCAGCACTGTTACCCAAAGCTGCTCTGCCGGGAGGCTTTGCAGCAGATCTGCTCCCCCTGTAACAAACACCCAGCGTGTATCTGGGCATCAATTTCCAAAGTCGTGGGCTACACAAAGGTCGATCTGCCAGCACGGAAGGTCTCCTGCCCGCACCGTATCTTCATAACCAGAAGGCTGAGATTATACAGCATGTGCTGCCAGGGTCCTACGCTGATGGGTAGCATGACACCCCATGAAAGAAATAGATTTCTGAGAAATAAACCTTTTTTTTTTTTTTTTTTTTTAATTACCTGTTAGTAGACCAACTGAAACTCACTCAGATGCAGGGCCTGCTGCGGGGCCTACTGGTGCCGGGTGCCTGATGTTTCCATTCTAATTGCTTTTACTTTCATTCATTCTGCCTCACCTAAAGCAGGACCAGTTAGTCCTCGGTAGAGGAAAGGAGGCCTTAAAGATCTTTGCTGTGCACAGTTCTTTCTTTTAATTTAAATAAAATACTTACAGCCTTATTTGGAGCTGCTTATCTACACTTCCGCACTAGACGCTGACCTGACACACTCTGCTGCCTCGTACATGGAGTGCTGTGGGCACAGCTTGTTTAGAGAGAGTTTAAATAAATAATGAGAATATCCCACTAGCACCTTCCGCACCTACGATGCAACAAACAGCCTTCAGTTTTCCTCCCGTTGGAGCCGAACACAGTTCCACATCCCTGGCTGCTTCAGGTAATGCGGAAGTTCCCTGTTTGCAATATAAAAGCGCGTTCACCGTACATTTGTAACACCATGTAAATGCAAAAACTGGCTGGCAGAGCAAGACAGCCATGACCTATACCAGAATCCGCTATCAATAATGCATCAATAACGAAACATACACGTTCTTGAGAAAACAAGAAAAATTATGTCAATAACTTTATTGTGTGCATCTACATATGACACATTGTTGATGAGGTCACTGAAGAACCTGCAAAGCAAGAAGTCCCAAAATCAGACAACCAGGTGAAAACAAGCTAGCCCGAAGCCAATGGCCCGAAAGCTCTGTTCCAATGGGAACGCTTTGTCGTGGTGCCCTGCGGCAGCAGAGAGGACACATGCCCGCGGACCCCGCACCCCACAGGCGGGAGAGAGCACACGGCTTTCCTCAGCTGGCAGCCAACAGGGACAAAATGCCAAGCTGCTCTTAATTCTGGAGAAGCGCTGCTTCCCATACCACCACGAGGAAGCTGCGCGAGCAGCTGGAGAAACGGGGCCTGCCCACAGCAAGGCGGGAGCTGCCTGTTACTCGGCACACAGCCGTTTGCGGGTCCTGACAAACACCACCCACCTCCCCACCGAGCCCACCGTCTCACCTCCCTACGCATCCTCCCCTGCGGCCGGTGCATCTCCACCTTTCGTGTTCCTGGTGTAGATCACTTGGGCTCGGTGCTTGGACACCAGCTTGATCAAACCTAGAGAAAAAGGAAATCATTTGAGGACGCTGAGAACGTTGTGCTGCCGCTTTCTAAAGCAGCAGACCGGATGAAGTGGGATTGGAAACATCAGGGCACCCAATGCTACACGTGCTTATGTGAGGCTTTCGCTCCAGACTGGCAGCAGTTATGCCACAGCCTGTCCTTCTGACGGCACTTTCTTAGTACAGCAACGCCACCAAATGTAGCAGAGCCTCCGCTCCTCACTGTGGAGCACTTGAAATGCTAGCTAAGGCAGCAGCTCATCAAAAATACGCCAGTCTGTGGGCATCAGATGCAGCATGGAATTTTCTGGGCGAACAGGGAGAAGGAAACATCCAATCTAAGCAGCTTTCCATTTTTCCACGGTTTCGAGCGCTTACCTTTGCTGAGCAGCTCCTGGAGGGCTGCCCTGGCCAGGGAGCCTCGAATCTTCAGCCTCTCCGAGACAACTGCAGGCGTGATGAGCTTGTAGTTGGGCACTTCTTTGCACAGTTTGTCATAGGTGGCCTTGTCAAACAGGACGAGGTTGTTCAACTTGTCTCTCACTTTCCCCTTGGACCACTTCTACTTGAACAGAGCAAAAAAAATCCCACTAAGCCACCTTCTAAACAGTAGCAAAAGACCGAGCTTTGGGACGGCCTAAGAACCGCGCTGCTCGGCGCCTCCGCATCGCACCCCACGCTGGAGGACTAGCGAGACGCACCAGACGGTCTCTGCGAAGACGTGCGCTGCCGACCACACCTACGGCACCCCCAAACCAACGGGGCAACGCGTTTCGGGCTCGGATTCACCGCCGCCACGCACGATGGCCGCCGGC